TATATATATATATATATATATATATATATATATATATATATATATATGAATACTAAAATAAACTACATCTTACTACTTGTACTACTATTCGTACTTCTCAGTTGTTCACTTATCGTGGGGCTTCAGGGTACGGATCCCCTGCGATAAACGAGGGACTACTGTACCAGTTTGAAATATCTGACATTTACACATGTATTACTAAAGTTTTCTTTCTTTCTTAGTGTCCCTTCCTATTTGGATGCAATTCATTTGCCCAACATCAATCTACTGTGATGCCATAGAAGGGTGCAAAGGGTCGGTATTCCCAGAAACGATTTATTCCCAAAGATCAAAGTAAAAATGGCACAACAAGCATGTTTTTTAATTCTTCTTTTACTTGTGTGGTTATGCTTTTCTCAACACCTCTTAAAAACAACAAACGTCCACATCATTTCAAAGTTCATCATATATCAAACAATAATTTATTTTGCCTCTCATTTTCAAGGCTCAAATTGTGTGGCTACCTAAGGATTTGTTAAGCTGGTTTTCTGCTCAATACATGAAATCCTACAAAAGCAAAAGCAACTACATGCGTGCTTAAACAAGTACAGATGCTTCAGTATGGACAACATAAGAGACATGTTTCTATAAAACGAACAGAGTCACAATAATATCACTTCTCTGCATCATGGGGCTGATGGTACATCGCTGCTGGCATCGAACTTTGGGAAATAAGCACCATTTAAGAGGATTTTAAACAAAATGGTTCATTTCTTACAAAAATTAGATTTTTTTTTAATTTACAAAAATCCTTTTAAAAAGGGTTGTTTTCTACCTCAGAGAAAATAGCATTGTTTTGATAAAAGTGTAACAGTAAAATACTGATAAGAGCGATATATATAATTATATGGTACAAACGAAGTAATGTAAATATTGTAAATGCTGGCTGGTAAAGTATGGCACACGTTCTTAACACACTTTCTAAACCCTTCCAAAAAAGTCAAATTTTCTGTTTTTAAAATATCCAAAAGAGCAAGCACAAAGGTAAAAAAAGATTGATGAAAAATGTTTCAAAAACATCAATATACACACAAGTCCCACTCAGGCCGTTTTTAATGAACCCCTTCGCTGAAGTCATGAAAATATCCGTCCAGAAAAGCGCTCCTTATTTCTCTTTTACACAATAACATGTCATGAAGTGAGGCAGGAGTGTCTTCCTCAGCCATGTCCAGTCTGTCCCTCAGAGACCTGTCCTCAGCCACGTCCAGTCTGTCCCTCAGAGACCTGTCCTCAGACTGTGGTCACAGAGAGCAAAGAGTTGTAAACCCTCGTACCGTCAGGTGATTTGGTACCATGGGTCAGCAGTTCTTGGATAGTCATCCAATTGTCAAATATTTTCTTGTTCCTCTTTTTCATCATTTTTTTGTGGCTAAGTTCGATGATGTTCGGCTCCTTTCTGTCCTCAGTGCTGCTCTGCTCTTTTAGACAGTCGGCTCGGCTTTGCTTCATGAACTCACGGCGCTGCTTCTGCTCTTTGGCTCGCACTGCGTGCTGCTTCCTCTCTTCCTTGCTCCAGTAGCGGCCCATCTTTAGCTCGCTGATGGCGTCGTCGTCCGTGGTCATGCCACTGCGCTCCTCGTGGATCCGAAGGGCGCGCTCCCTCAGCAGCTTGTCCCGAACCGGCCGCTTTGTGATGTATCTTGTGCCATCGCTGCGGACCTTAACCTTCCACTCCATCTTGGGCTCCAGGTCACCGAGGCTGATGGGGTCCCGGCACATGCTAACCAAACTCATCTGGCTCTGGGCGTACTCCACAGCTGACTTCTGCTGGATCAACTGCATGTAGCTTTGATAGTGCTGAGCATGGGCAGGGATGTGAGCGTGTTTGTAAGGTGAATGGGGCTGGGAAAAGCTACGTCCGGTTTTACTGGACTCTCCCGGCTTCCTTTCCTTGCTATCAGCCTGCAGTGCCCCATCTGGGTCTTTAGAGGAGCCTCTGCTCCTGCTGGGGCTACAGGCCTCTTGGACAGGGGATAAGAGCGGCTTGAGTGTTTTGCCAACCGAGCTGCTGGAGCCGGAGGGTCCAGCTGTGCCCTGGTTCTCTGCTCCTCGATGGAGGGAGTTATCTGGAGACAATTCTAGAGTGAGAGGAGTGCTGCGGCAGCTCTCGCCCGTGTTATAGGCACTGGAGCTGTCCTTATCAGATTTCTCCGGCAGCTCAGAAATGTCTGACAGCTCGTGGCGTCGAGCATCTATGCTTGTGTTGTAGTTGCGGAAGCCGCTGTTGTGGAGCATCCACGACTCTCGGCACTGCTCTCTCAGCTGCTGCATCTTGTGAGCGCGGACAATGTTCAGGCACTCCAGCTCAATGCTGCGCAGCTCCTCGTTTAGCAGCTCCAGCTCCTTATCCACGCCCTCCTCAGCCTGTCCTTCAGCGCTAGCGCCCTGACCGTACAGGCCCTGCACTCCACTGATCCTCATCTGACACTTCAGCTCCAGCAGTTCTCTGAAGCGTTCACATTCATCAGCCGGGATGCCCAGAAAGTCAGCGTCGGTGTAGTCTGCTGAGATGAAGGACTCGCTGCTGAAGGGCAGGTCGGTGCTGCCGAGGGTGTCCTGGCTGTAGGTCAGCTTCCTGCAGCTGCCCAGTGTGTTAGAGGCCGTGGTGGTCTGATCGTCGGCGAGATTCTCTTGCTCCGAGCTCTCGTCGTTTCGAGTACTCTCATCTGTGCGACCGACTCCGCTGTCCTTTTCGTGGTGGTTGGAGAGCAGCGTGGCTGTGTCTGTGGTGCCTCCATCCTCCTCATGCTTCTTCTGTAGAAAGAGTTGACACAGTTAATTCAAGGCATGTTAGATATTAGGGTTCTCACCAGATCCCCAAATTAGATGCATATGACATTAGTAAGGAGAACTGACAATGCTAAATGTAGAAACTAAGTTCACAAAGGACCTGTCAGCTTGTAGAAGTGCCTTTAGTAGCCATAACTTGAGGTAACCATCTTCTGTTTGGCCTGTAAATATTTCACGTTGTCGGGGAGGAATTTTGGTTTACCTCATTCACTTTTGAGAAAGAGTTGTATAAGTTTAATAAACTATTAAAACTGGCACTTGTTTGGATAGCCATTAGACAAAGCCTGGAGGAAGACTTTTGCCTCTGTTATCCATGGCTGATGCCACAGCTACTAACTATTGATAATTATTTGACAAAACATTGCCTTTAATGCCTCACTACAGCATATCCATCAGGTTGAGGTCTAAACTTTGAGCCATTGCTGCCATTGCTGTTTCTTCTTTTCAACTACTTATCAAATCAACAATGACTGAATGGTTTCAAGATGCCAAGATTCCACAGCAGCAAACAAGCTGAAATAATTAGCCCACCGCCACCGTGCTTAACAACTGATATGAAGTGTTTGTTCAGAAATGCTGTTTGGTTTTCTTTAAATACTGTAAGTTCCAGACTATAGAGCACACTCTAATATAAGCCACGCTTCTGTGTAACCCATGGGTGTTCACGTTGTAACATGAGATATTTACACAGAAAGATTTTTTAAAACTTTTAATTAAATACGTACAAGTAACATCCCCAATATGTACAGTAAATATTTTTTTTTCTGAACAGTGCCTGTAACAGGGCTGGTTAAAAATAAAATAAATACAGTAGCCTATCAGGAAACGTCACTGAACGCTAGCTTCATTCCTCCTGTGCACTAAAACCATTAAAGTCGTCTTCTTCAGTGTCAGAATTGAACAGCCTCAGAAAACCATCGCACACGTCCTCAGTCACTCTTTTGTTGTCACTCTCGTCACTTTCATCTCGAGGCAAATTTGCGATTTGATTGGATTTATGATTCACAGTTATTTCGAGTGGCTGCAAATACTTTGTTGTGTACAATGAGGGGGGAAACTCCCACTGGGAGAGGGAGGGGAGGAGAGAACGGGGAGGAGAAGTCCCTACCCCCCAGTGGACCAATAAAACTTGGTTGGTAACTTCATTGACCAGATTATTATATTTTAAAAAGTTTTATTTATACAGGTAGTCTCACTGAGTCACGAGGACCCATCCCCCAAGAGGTGGGTGGGTCCTGGGCACATGTATTGGGCACCTATGTGAGTGCCTGAGTGTGACAAGGCTAAATGTTTTGGCTTCATGAAACTCATTAGCCTGTCAAAAATAAATACATTTTTAAAATCCATAGATTAGCCGCAGCATTGTACTTTGTATACGCAATGGTCAAGGTTCAAAGCGTGTGAAAAAAGTAGCAGCTTACTGTCCGAAAATTACAGTAATCTACTGTATATTATGGCCAAATACATCTACCCTCTTGTCTGTAGAAAGTGCTAGTGTTCTAAAAGTTCTCGTTTTTTAGATGTAACTTTATAAACCTAAGCTGAATTGAACCACGCTCTAAAAAAAAAATTCTAATTTCTACAAGTGAAAACCATTAAGCATGAATTATCCCAACTAATCTTCCCATTCAATATGTTATGAATGTGTGTCTGTGCGTGTGTGTACCTGCTCCAGCATGCTGGCAGTGAACTGCATGGCCTGATGGTGCTGCTGCTCCAGCATGTCCATGTGGAGGTCATCCAGGAAGTCGTTCCTGTCATCATCCATCCAGCTGTCGTCCAGCTGGGATGCCATGTAGAGGAGAGAAAAGATGCTTCATTAGAAAAATGGGGTTGGGGAGTAGAAGGAGGAATCCTTCAGTACACCTTGAAGTGCATCAAAGTTTGTTCTAAAGCAATATAAAAAGAATGTTTGATTATGCCACGTCATGCTGTTATTAGTTTAACAAATGCACAACACACACAGATATACTAATTACCTGGATCTCTGGCCTGGCCACCAACAAAGAGATGTTCTGGTTGCCCTCAGTAGTCAGCAGCGCCACAGCATCTTCACGGTTTTGGATCTCAACCCCATTTATCTTGATGGGTGAAAAGAAAAGCTATTATTTCAGAGCAAGTTTACTTTTGCTCACTAACTATTTGTAGTTTGTACTTTTACACAAATCAGCCAGAACCTTCACCCTGTGTACTTCTCTTACCTGTACAATTTTGTCCCCTTCCCTAATTCTGCCGTCCTTTGCAGCGATGCTGTTTGGGTCAATCTAGGGTGAAGAGGAATTTTACATTTAAGAGCCAGAGTAAACACCATCCCTAAATGCCAGGCAATTTGTTCTCTTCTCTTAGTGTTAAAGCAGATTTGAACCTGATCCTGCAATGCTCACTTCACTAATGTAAATCCCAGCTTCATCTTCATCATCAGTCCTATAACAGATGGTCAGGCCAAGTTTATCTTGGATGTTGGCTCGGTACAGATCCACCTCCTGGTAAGACACAAAGTAAATCAGAAATAATCATTCATAGTTTTCAAACGAAGCAGAAAATAGCTGTGGATTTGTGTAAATGTGTTTCTGGACAAAGTATTGATGAAAAAAATGGGAGCAAAGAGCAACAGTGATCCATCAATCACTGTAATGAATCTTTCAGCCGGTCGAAGGGAGGCCATTGGCTTGTCTTAGAGGCCCACCGACAGCATGAGAAATGATGCAGTGGACTGCAGACGGCAAGGGTACCATTTGTCACTTGTCAACACCTGTAATCTCACAGATACAGATAAAGTTACGAGCAGCGCTGGTCTCTGAGGGCAAAGGATCGGGCTCTGCGAAGGTTAACCTCCAAAAACCAAGCTGTAGCCAAAGACTCTGATGAATCTTAAGGAAAGACACTCTGGAATACATGTCTTTTTGCCACAAGTTAGATAAGACAATTCATACATCTTTTACTGAAAATGAAACCAATATAACCACCATTTGGTTTATGGTAACTTTTTGAATAAAACCCACCTAAATTTAACCGTTAAAACCAACTATAATTTTAAAACTATAACTGAATTTTCCAGGTATACACAGTAAAACTAATTTTTAATTTGAAATGAATTTGAAGTACTCAGTGTTGGAGAAAAATATTCTCACTTTATCTCACTTACTCAAAGGAGCCACACTCGATGGCAGGAGAAGATTTTTAACCGACATATGTAAGGACAGATTTTCAGGACATGTCACACAGATATACAGGAAGTACACACATGAAGAGAAGTCATGAGAATCTGCTACGAGCAGTGTGTGAAGCTTGTTTTTATACTCGTATCAGTTCAGCCGAGCTCACAGACTCGGAGGCGTCCTTGGAGTGAAACTGCACACTGCAGCCTCACCCAGCTCCTCATCCAGCTCTCTCTGCTAACCCAAACATATGGTTCATGGGCAGAGTTAACATTCTCAGCCATAGGGGTTAAAAACATCCATAAAGTTTGAACAAATATTCCCTACCATACAGCATTTAATATGCAATCACAACAGCACTGTTCCTTAAAAAAACAACAACAACAACACACACACAGTTAATTACTACTTTGTCAGACAGTTTTGCATTTTTTGTAGAGATTGTAGCGGTTTCATAAGCTAGATTTCTCATATATTTCAGAAATGATACTTGAAAATGCGTCAATATAATCCAGCATCCCACTTCACTTATGGTGTTAAAGTTGTGGTTGAATACAAACCAACACAAAATGTTCCTGACATGTTTTGTCAGGACACTATAATAAACCATTGCTGTTTTTCAGTCTAAAAATGATTTAATATATAATTAAAACATATTTGAGTAGTCTTTAACCTAATATTAACCACTATTTTAGAAATATTCTTAGGTGGCAACTAGTGTTAAAATAAAAGCAGGGTAGTTATTGTTAATCAATAAATAGTGACTTGTTAACCCATTTCAATAGTGATTTAAATAGTTAACACCATTAAAAATCGTTTTTTTTATGTGATACCATAAACTCAGCAACTAGCTCATTTAGCTTAGCACAAAAAAGCTGAAAAGATGGGCTAGCTAGTACGACAAGTAACTATTTAAACTAATACAAATTTCACAAACTACCATGTTAATGTTTTTTATGTTTTAACACAGAGAACAAAATCACAAAAACCAAACAACAACAAAGAAACCTTTTGGTACCAACGAGGGTGAAACAAGCTAGCTTTTGAAAACTGAGCTGCCATCTTTACAAAATGTGAAATACCGTAATTTCTGGACTATTGAGCGCACCCAAATATAAGCTGCACACACACATAAAAAGTACATATATAGCCCGCATTTGTCTATAAATGGTAAATGAACTGTACTTATATAGCGCCTTTCTATCTTATCGAGATACTCAAAGCGCTTTACACTACAAGCTATGTCCCATTTACCCATTCATACAGCACTCTACTAGATCTCTACAAAGCTAATTGAACAAATCATTCTAAAGAGACTAATTAGAGCTTTATCACATTCATACACCGATGGGACACACATCAGAGGCAACGAGGGATTCAGTGTCTTGCCCAGGGACACTTCAGCATGTGACTGCTGGTGGATTCGAACCCCCAATTCTTGCATTGGACGACGACTGGTCTAACCACTCAGCCACAGCCGCAGGTGTCCACGTTATAACATGAGATATTTACATAGAAATATGTTTTAAATTTTAATTAAATATGTGCCGGTAACATACAAAAATACGTACAGTAATTTAAAAAAATTCTGAACAGTTCCTGTAACACAGCATGAAGCTCGTTAGCCTGTCAATAAATAAACAAATAAATAAGTAAATACATGAATAAATAAATAAAATCCATACATTAGTCGTAGCATTGTATAAGCCGCGTGGTTCAAAGAGTGTGAAAAATGTTATAGTCCGGAAATTATGGTAGATAATGAATAGTATGACAAAAGCATAATAAAATGAGTGAAACAATGCTGGTCCGACAGCTGTTGAAATATTGTTTTAATAGGAGTGTATCTTTCATATTTAAATTGAAATGACCAAATATCTTGATGGCCCATAAGTTAAGAAATACACCTTTTGTTATTTTACCTTTTACACTATTTCAGTTTCTACCTACACATAACGGCTGAATAGTGAGCAAACGTAATATATATATATATATATATATATATATATATATATATATATATATATATATGTATAAAAATATATGCCCCTTCACTGCTCTTACACAGCCCCAACAGCCCCAACTCTACTCAGCCCTCCAGGGAAAGGTCCCTACTCCACAGTACTTTTTAGCTGATTCGAGGATGATTCGGGACCTTCTTTTGTCCTTTCTTCTCTGGTGAGACCAGGCGAGCTGATTCGGGACCGAAACGTGAATGCAAGACACTGATTGGTCAGGGGGAGGAGTCACTGGATCTCAGAAACTTTTCTCTGATCCTCTATTTGCAATTTCTCGAAACTCAGAGCAGCGGTTGGATCTATTTTAAAGATTTTAAAAACAATAGTGACAACACTGTGTTTAATGCTGAAGTGCAGACGTTTTTGTGTTTGGTGAACGATGACAAAGCTCAAGCGAGCGGCGTCATCGCGGAGGATCATACGAGCTGCTGACCCATTGAAGCACGTGAGGCCGGACCCCGAGCACCAGCTTCGCGGGCTCACAAAGGCTGGACTCTGAGCCCTGGCAGGCAGGAGGACTGGGAGTCCGGGATGGAGGGTGGAAACGTTTTATTTTTTTTTTATTTTTTTTTTTAACATTTTATATATAAAAATTTATGTTTTTTTTTAATCAGTGAAGAATAAAAATAAATAAACGGTGCCGGCTTTATGATGAGATCCTGTTTTCACTTTGCCTTTATTAAATAATCTGTTAATTAAAGTTAACTCAGCTGAAAAATCGTAAAAAGACAAAATTATTGGATCTCTCAGAAATATTTCCCTCAAATATGTTTAAAGAAGAGACACAGCCTTTGGTTCAACTTTATTCTAACCCACAGACATACTAATCACAAAACAAGAATTACACTTTAATTTACTAAAATAAAATCTGTATACAAGAAACAAAATCACATATCTAAACTGAACAACAAAAGTAGACACGAGTGCAAATACATCAAATGATGAAGAAAAATATAGAATTTTAAATATAGATGTTTTTGTAGAATCTGATTCATTAGATTTAATTCAATTCAGTTTATTTATATAACGCCAAGTCACAACAGAAGTCGTCTCAGGGCACTGAACAGAAATATTTGTATATAAAATAAGTTAACAGTTCATATTTAAAAATAGTAATTTAACATTATTTATCTGAGGAGCAGACTGCTTTTAGTTTAACTCATCGCAGACTCCCACTCGGTGAACTAAAGTTCATTAAAAGTTCATTAGCAGGATTTTGGATTCTGGACACGCCTCCAGAACTGGTCCTGAAATGCGGTGCAAATCCAGGCTGATCTGAGCAGAGTTGGGGCTGAGTATGAGCGGTGCAAAAGGGGCAACAGACTGGATCCCAAACAGAACATCAGAGATGTTTATCAGACATTCCTCTCTAAACCTGGGTCACTATTCAATGACTCTGTTAGTTCGTATGCGATTGCACCACCATATCTCCAATTAGCTGCTTTGAGCTTCATCTATTACTCCCAGCTTCATAGTTCCTCCATTGATGGCATTATCAGACAATAGGGGACTGAGGTTTATTAACAGGGGGTCTGAGGGTTGGTGGAGGTCAGTGAAGGTGGAACAGCATTAATATCATAGCCTCATCCAGCCATTGTTAGCATCATCAGATCCATCACTGTTGGCCTATTATCCGTATCATCTAATTATCTCCTGGGCCTCTCTTTCACAGCGTAACAGCAGAAGACCTCTTATTAATCCCTGTCACTAAAAAAGGCAATGGATGATGTCACCATTACACATCTGCTGGGAGAAAACAGCCATTTTATTCAAGTCTGGGTCTAGATCTCTGTTTGTACGTCAGATGAAAGATCTGCTGATATCTAGGATTTATTAGGACTTGTGAGTGGAAAGAAATACTCCTGGACTGAAGACATTGGTATGACGTCAGGCCTGCTCCTGTCATAAAGTATTCTTATACAGAAACCAGCAATCAAATACAGAGATGATGTTTTACCTCATATTCCAGCCCCTCACGCTCTATGTCCTGTTGTATGCCCTCTAGGAAATCATTGGGGTCAAAGTATGCATGTCCAGGAGGATGCCTGAGAAAATAAGGAGAGAGTTCAGTAATTGGCATAAAATGGGAAGTAAATTAGTGAAACACATCTCACAATTAGACCAAAACATACTACCACCTTTTGTCAGTTTAGATTTATTTTCACCCCTGATCTGGAAAACTAAATGAGACGTAGAAGGGAAGCAGCATAAACTGAATGAAGAAATGACTCTCAGACCAGATACTGATGCTGCACCCAGAGGCTAACTTCATATTAACATGCTGCGTTATTAATTTGACTCAAATCAATTAAAGCACTCATCATTATTCATTAGTGCACATTAAATGCTTGTGCAGCGAGTGGAATGTACCCAGGGTCTCTGAGCTCCTGTGCATACAACACTGACAAGCACTTTGGGAATATGCAAATAAAAATGAACTATCATTATGATGTGCCCCGGAGAAGCTGTCATCTCTGGTGAATGACAGGGACACTTTCCCTACGAGCCCCTCCTGAGTGATCACTCGAGGTAATACTTTTAAATCAAGATTATCTCAGTGTCTTTAAGGTGACCTTTTCAACACTGCTGGATTCTCACACCAAGATATTAGGCACCCTATTATTAAGAGACAATTAAACTAGAAACAAAATCATTTTCTTTTAGGAGCTTGGTTATACATTTCTATTAAGCCAGGCTTTTTGCACGTGTGGTCAGACAAAGGCTAAACTTTGAGCTTTGCTAAATTCTTTGCATTTGAGGCACATCACTTACATTTCTTGGAAATGATGAAGACAATCACATATGTTGAATGATTTCAGTTAATGATTCGTGACAAAGACATAGATCAATATGGAAAATAAAAAACTAGAGAAATTCTATATCATGTGAAAATACAGTGTGAATGCTTATTGCAGAAGAACTTGTTGAAAAACAACTGAAATTAGTTAAAAATATGCTGAAATGTAGCTGAAATGGAAGAACAAGCCTAAATTAGCAGAAGAAAACAGAAATAACACATGCTGAATTAGGTTTAAATAATAAGAAATTAGCACAAAAATAGGAATTTAGCTAAAAAAAAGCTGAAATAAGCAAAACATAGCTGAAGAGTAGCTGAAAAGGCAGAAGGAAGCTTAAACTACCAGAAGGATGTGGAAAGAGCTGAAATGAGCTAAACAATGTGGATTCAGGCTTAAAAAGCTAAAATTAGCATAAAACAACTAAATAGTAGCTGAAATAGCAGAAAAAGCTGAAACTAGCAGAAAAAAGCTGAAAGGAGCATAACGAACTGAAATTAGCATAAAGACGTTAATTAGACTGAAAGTAGCAAAAATTACCACAAAAAACTTGAATTTATCTGAAAACAGCTGAAAATAGCTATAAAAGTGCTGAAAAACCAGAACAAGCTTAGATTAGCAGAATAAATCAGAAATAACATGTTTGTCCAATGCGGCTGAAACAAGCAGAAATGAGCACAAAAAATAGAAATGATCTGAAAAATAGAAATGATCTGAAAAAAGCTGACATTAGCAAAAGAAAACAAAAAACAACAACCACTGGAGTAGTTAAAAAAGCAGAAAGAAGCTTAAATTACCTGAAGGAAATGGAGAGAGCACATTTTTGCTGAATTAGGCTGAACATTTTTTAAACGAGTGCATACAATGTGGAATTAGCTGAAAATGATAAAATTAGCATAAAACAGCTAAATAGTAGCTGAAATAGCAGAAAAAGTTGAAACTTGCAAAAATTAGCTGAAAGGAGCAGAACAAGTTGAAATTAACAGAAAAAAGGTAGAAGTACACAAATGTTGTAGTTAGAAGAAAGAATCTGAAAGGAGCACAAAACTGGTGAAATTACCTGAAAAAAGTTTAAATTTGCACAATGAAGCTAAAAAAAAAGCGGAACCAGAACAAAATGTGAAAGAAGCATGACAAGGTTGTAAACAGATCTAAAGATTTGAAAGATGTAAAATGAGCTCAATTTATTTTCTATGAGAAAAAAATGGCAGAAAATGCTAAAGGTCTCAAAAAGCCAAAGTTGCACCAATACCAAAAGTTATGGCAGGGTTGTCCTGAAAGAGCTGAACGTTTTGATTTATGATTTGGTGAAATAGCACAAAAATTGAGGAACGAGAAAGATGCTGATAAAAATTCAGAACAGGTTAAAGTAACTAGAAGACTACGGAGTAATAATAAATATAAACAGGATCACAATGATGTAACATTTTTCAGTCGGGTCATCTGGACAGTTTCTTTTCTTGTGCTGAAACGTTTTGCCTTCGATCCGGAAGGCTTCATCAGTCAAGGAAACACACAACACAAAACCGATTTCTTTCTTTCACGACTGTCAATAAGGAAGAGGGCCGGCAATGAAGGAGGGGGCGTATCAAAGAAACCATCTTAGCACCAACAAAACTGGTTTGTTCTACTTTGGAGTAAGCTGTTGGGGGAAGAATCAGTTTTGTGTTGTGTGTTTCCTTGACTGATGAAGCCTTCCGGATCGAAGGCGAAACGTTTCAGCACAAGAAAAGAAACTGTCCAGATGACCTGACTGAAAAATGTTGGATTGCATACCTGGATTACTGAGCATGGACTTTGTTGATCACAATAATGCTTAATAAGCATTCACACAATAAAAACACAGACTGGAACTTTGTCCCAGCAACAGCTTCATCTTGTATTGGAACCAGTGACAGGAGGAAAAATGGCAACGCAGTCTTCCAGACATCGAGGGCGTCAGAGTTCAAACTAAGAGCCAGCGCAGCTTCTTGAAGGATGATCTTGCGCTGGTTGAGAAAGTTTTCTTTCTATGATCACTCTGTCAACACTTACCATGTGAGTGAGCCACCAGGTGCGTCACACACCCCTTGTCTCGCATAAATGAAAGCGACTTTACAAATATGCATAGGCGTCACAACTATTATATGTGAAGGGGACAAGTCCCCCCACATTAAAAAAACGCTCATTTGGACCCCCCCCCCCCCCCCCACACACACACACACTTTTACTATAAAACATTAGTTCAGGCGGCAGTTTCTTTCTTCGTAAACAAATCCATTCCACTTGATTAATCGGTGAATGCTCAAACAACTAAAACTCCACTCCAGGATTTCCTAGTTACCTCCAACTCTAAACACAGCAGCCTGTTGCCACGGTCACAATATACGGTGGTCACAGAATATGGTGTAACACCTGCAGTGTTTCTGTGCGTCTCCTCCTGCCTCGGCAGAAAACGCGCACAGGTGAAGGAGATGGAGACACCTCTGTGTTGATTGCTCGCCAGTTTAGCGAGCTTTGTGCGGGCAGTTGTTGACCAGGGTGTTGATCATAAACATATATACATGTTAGGAGAAGTGCAGCGCTACGTCTGTAGCATGTTCTCTTAGCAGTAACTGTGACGCTGTAAGACGCTGCAGGTGTAAGAGACGCTGTGTGTTCAGGTGCATTAAAATTGAAATGTCTTTAAAACCCCACACTTTATTGTCCTCAAGCTTCGTGAGAAACATCATTTAGATGAGTAGTGTTGAACACAAGTAAAAATATCTAGTGGTGATGGTTTTTATTTTTTTATAAACACAAATAGTGCCGACCTGACGCTCTGTATTAAAGTGTATTAAAGTTAAAATGTCTTTAAAACCACAGATGAATTTACACAAACTTGGTGAGAAACATGCTTTAAATGTGTGGAATTAAAGGAAATCTAGGTGAAATGCTGCTTTTTTTGTATAGTGAACACCTTTTTTATACGCGCGCACACATAAACGCACAAACATGCACGCGCGCACACACACCTACACACATCATTGTGTCCCCCCCACATTACGGATGCTTCTGACGCCTTTGCAAATATGTAAAATACATTTTCATTTTGATGAAAGACTTCTGTTCCTGGCAATTAAAACACTAACTGGAGAAATTGCATTTCCTGTGTAATTGCAGTGTGAATGCTTATTTCTGCTGAAAAGGTTTCATCGTCTAACCGTTAATGAGAGTTGAATTAGATCAGCTGACGTTTGCTGAAAGCAGGAAAATAAAAAACAAAAAGCAGAAGAAAAACAGCAGAAATAGAAGAGTATATATATAGAATATAAGAAAATAAGAAAAGCTGAAAGAGGCTGAACAGATTATAAAAATCATTTAGCAAAAAATAAATTGAAATGAGCAAAACAAGTAGCTAAAAAAGCTATTTTTAATTAGCAGAAATTAAAAAGATTCAAAAAGAGCATAAAAAACTGAAATTAGCTTTTTCCTTTTTCTTTCTGCTGCTCCTTCATCAGGGGTCTCCACAGCGAACTAACTCACACGAAGACTTGGCAGTTGTTTTTATGCTGGATGTCCTTCCTGACACAACCACAGACCACCGAGCTACCACAGCCCTCTGAGTGGAGCAGAGAGCTGCTATCTAGGGCGCCCAGGGGAGCAGATGGTGGGTGTTAAGGGCCTTGCTCAAGGGCCCAGAGTGGGGCAAATGAAGGTGGAGAGAGGTGTGGGTGCTTCATCTTTCCACCCACATTTTGATGTCAATCCGGGGAGTTGAACCAGCAACCTTCCTATCACAGGCTCACCTTCTCTAACCTCTGTTCCACCACTCCCCCAAAAAGCTGAAATTTGCTTAAATCTGGGAAAAATAGCTAAAATGAGCAGAAAGCTGCTGAAAGAAGCTAAAGGAAGCTGAAATTAGCACTGCTGTGTAAAAACAGAAGGTGCTTCGACTGGCCAGATGATGATGATTTTCACATCAACTCACGTCAAGTGCAGCAATCAACATCAAATAAAAAGAGTCATTCAGTGAATTCAGTTTTTTCCCTTCAGGCGAGGCGGTACTCACTCGTCCGGCAGCAGGTACTCCTCCAGCTCTGTCATTGGGGGTGAGGAGGGAGGCAGCTTGCTGAGGGCCGTGATGTGCTGCAGGGTGATGTCCGTCTGGGTGCCAATGTCCGACACCTGGATGTCTGTGGCAGGGCCGGCCAGTTTGGGGTGAGGGGCTCGGCGCAGAACCTGAACCATGATGGGCTCCTTGGCGGTGCGGAACGCCTCCACTGCCTGCTCGTGGGTGGCCTTGGAGAGATCCTTGCCATTGACCTGAGAAACCAAATAGGGAAAAACATATAATCATGAAAGAAAGAACAATTTAAAACACTCCTCTTCATCGGTTTGTAAGAGGATGTTGATTACAATGAGGCGGTGTGGCCATTGCCTCTGACTGTGAAGTCCTCACATGAATCACTGTGTCCACACAAACTTAATGCTGGTGTTCTGTTTGGGAAACATCTCATTAGAGCCACGACATTTTTTAAACAGGGTCATAGCTGGACCAAGTAGAATATGACCCTAATTAGGAAGAGTCTCTCTTTAATTAATCAAGTTTATAAGCTGTGGCTGCACGCAGGATTCCTCTTTAAGCTAAGTAATTTCTCAGCAGAAGAGAAGTTTGACCTCCGGGCAGAGACAGTGGAGAGGGCACCGGGCATTAACCTGAGATTATTTTCAAAAGGCTGCACTGTTCCACATAGATGAAGCTAATTAAGTGTGGTTGAGCCACTTAACGTCGGTGAGATGAAAGATGAGTGAGGGCCTCGAAATTCCCTGTTCTCCAAAGAATGTGCCACAAGATCCAGAAAGACTTCAAATTTAATAGAAAAGACTTAAAACGGGATCTGTGTTGGTAGATATGTGTTTCAAGTGTTCACAGGCTTCTCTGCTCACACACGAGCTCACATCCTTAAAAAGGAGCTACGTTTTAGCAGCAGCAGATCATTAGGAGTCCCAAGACTTCAGCATCTTTTCTCACTCATCCTGGTACCCAACCTACATTCTGTGTTTGGAGACTCAGTTTGTGATAATCACATTGGTCAGCCTGTCTCTGGTGATAAATACAGAGCTTGAAAATTTAACTGAGGACCATTAAAATATCCCAATAATAGTAAAATCCTAATGGAAATGGTGTGAACATAGTTTCCTTTTATAAGAGCTTGTTTTTTTACAATCCATTAACGGTCAATCAGGTCATCTGGACAGTTTCCTCTTTGTGGAAAGACATTTCACCTTCTATCCAGAGGGCTTCATCAGTATGAGGTGTCAGACTAATGACTGATGATAGCCACTTTGGCTGTGGCTGCCTGCCTGGGAGGAGTTGGCGGTGGACAGGACAGCCCCCAGAAACCATCTTATCACCAGCAAACTGGTTGGTTCACTAAAGGAGTGTACTGTTTGGTGGGGAAAACAGTTTACTTGGGACTTCTCAGACTGATGAAGCCCTCAGGATAGAGGACGAAACGTCTTTCCACAAAAAAGAAACTGTCCAGATGACCTGACTGACCGTTATTGGATTTTGTACCTGGATGATTGAGCATGAACTCTGATTTTTTACAATGGTTCTGAGGTTATCTGTCTGTTTGGTAGTAGACGAGGAAAGTTTAGGGTTATGTCACAAATGAGGACTTCTGTGCAAAAGCAATGAACCAATAATGTATTACCTGCTGCAGATAACTCTTTGAATAGCATTTGCTTGGGGAAGCAGTTTATTTCTGACTGGATGAACAAGCCAACAGTTGGTTTGAATATGGAAAATACCAAAATGGGTTGCTGCTGTCCTAAAAATAACATTTTCAAAAGTCTCAGAGTCAACACTTTGTGCTAACTGTATCAGTTGATGCTTTACATTATCTGGGGTTATTTTAGGCATCTATCCTTCAGAGGTCTAACATCCAGTCAGAACTAGTCTACTTCTTTTAAATTAATGCTGTTAAAAAGAGTTGTCTACAACCGATTATAAACTTTTCACAGAACCTCACTTCAAATGGTCTGAACCTTCTTTTCAAGCAGAGCAGGATAAACCTGACCCTGGGCCTGCAGGACAACAGGATCATCTCAGCAGATGTTAAACTACATATTCCTCCATCCAATCTTGAACAAAAAATTAAACCTTCTGTTACCATATTTTGCATTGTATCAGTCACAGTTTTTTGCATAAATTAACATGCCCTTTGACTTATACAGCGAAGCGACTTATTTATGTTTTTTCCCAATATTTTTAACCCAATTTTTGTCTGAGATCTGACAATTTCATTCATTCTGACATGGAAAATATTGAACACTACCATTTTCAGCCACTAGAGGGCCCTTGACTTATCTGTCTCATTAATAGGTAAAAGTGGCTATTAATGTGACACTTGGCTTGCCATACCAAGCCACCTTCGTCTCGCTTCAGAATTCCTGAACCGCACCACCCAGGCGAAATGCAGCTGATTTGACCATTAAAGTGCATTTATTAAAGAAAAGTTAAACTGAGACACACCTTTACTATAATGTCGAGCAAACAAATAATTGTTTTTAGGTGGTTATATTGGTAAATGTCGAAGAAATGCACATCGAGTCATCCTTCTGCGTGCTCCCGCAAATCGACTTTTGAAATGCAGCAGATGTGACTGTTAAAGTGTATTTACTAAGGAAAAGTTAGACAGACACACCTTTGCTATAATTTTGAGCAAACTAATAATTGTTTTTAAGTGTTAATCTTGTTAAATTCCTTAGATAGAGAACTTTACTAATAGGCTTTTATGTATGTGAATGTTTCTGTAAAGTGCCCTGAGACAACTTTGTTGTGATTTGGCGCTATATAAATTAACTGAATTGAATTGAATTGAATTTAAATTCTTGTTAAAGTCCTCCCATGCACGCTCCCATGTCTGCCATTTGGCATCCAATCAATTTTGGCACAACACCGGCCCATATTTCTGGGTCATCAGCGGTGACACGTAACAAATGCGACGTGTTAGCGGTGATGCATAATAGATGCGACTTATACGGTGAAGCAACATATTTGTTTTTTTCCCACTTTATTAGACATATTTGGACTGATGCAATGTTTATGGCGGCAAGTACAGTAGTTTCTTCCGAACAATTCAACACCTAAAAAGCACATTGTCACATCTCAGAACATGAGGTTAACAAGATGAATAAAACAAATATGTACGAACATGGCAACAATTCTTGGCAATGAGTAAAAAAAACAAAAAACCCAAAACAAGTAGCGTCTCAACACAGACCATATCGTAATGGCTATGAACTGGAGTTAGCTCCCCTGAAATGACCCATCTACAGTCACATTTGTCTCCCACTGCGAGTCACGATGTAGCACATCAGCTGATGAATACAAGTGCCTTTGTGTCGCTCTGCACGGAGGCCCCAACAGCCCAACCTGGTTGCCAGGAATCTCGGGGGTCCTTGAAGGCAGCGAAGCAGACAAAGCCTTTAGCCCCCTGCTTGCTAAACTCAAGGCCTTCTGCCTCAGTGCTCTTGATAGTGGAAGATTCTCCCCCTTAGCTGTGACGGAGTGGGGGTCTCACAGTCTTTTCACTTGGCTCACCTCTGACATGGAACAGCCCTTTGCTGCACACTGAGAAAAAACACACATCGCTCCTCTAAACACAATGCTCAATGCTTCACGACTGCTGAGCTCGTCCAACTGTGGCGTGATCAACTCGTGTCGTAACTCAGACAGCTCAGCCGCCTGAAAAGCTCGTACATCTCTATTCGCTTCAAGCTACTGCAGCCGCAGGGACCAGACGTACAAAATGTGAAAACCTGAACTGTGAAGGAAGGCTCAGTGAATACCGAACACTTGGACTGTTGTTCTCGTGAGCCCGGTGACGACTGGCCTGCAAAAACTGCTCTGTACTCATGTGCTCCACTGGTTTATGTTAAATTCATTTTAACTGCATGAAGGAGGCCAGGTCCAACTTAAAGGAATACTAATCAGCTTTAAATCAAACGTCCACTGTGCTGATGTCTGCGGAGGAATTTACACAGCTGTGGATTTCTTATTCACAACCTATTTTCTTTCATTAAAATGTCACATTTGACAAGCAACTGTGGAAACACATACCTGCTCGGGATTAGATGTTTTGAAGCTAATTTAGGATTCAAGTTCACACCATGTGAAGTTGCATCAGCCTTCTGCCTGTTTGAGTATTATTAGGGGTAGCAAGAGTTGAGCTGTGAACTTTGATACAAGATAATCTCTGGAAAGTAAAATAAGTTGGACTGAGCTGTTGATGAAAGAGTTTACATGTTTTTCAGTGTTGAAATACTTTGAGAACATGCAGCCGAGAAGGCTCATCTCCCAGGCAGCTCTAGCTCCATCGTTCCCATTTTGGCCTTTACATTACTGAACGTGAAGTGAGGCTGCTTCAGGTTCCATTTAACTTCTTATTAATTCAGGCACCGATGCAGAAATCTAAATTCATTATTTATGAGGATCCTAAAAATGGAAATGTAACGCCAAATAGATTCATGATGGAAGCAATAAATACAAGTGAACTGATGCTGCTCACAAGCCTGGCTTCCCTGAGTTACTGTTGCTATGCACATAAAACCTTCAGTTTCTACAGATGCTCTTTAAAATGGATTCCTTCCTTCCTTCCTTCCTTCCTTCCTTCCTTCCTTCCTTCCTTCCTTCCTTCCTTCCTTCCTTCCTCCCTCCCTCCCTCCCTCCCTCCCTTCCTTCCTTCCTTCCTTCCTTCCTTCCATCCTTCCATCCATCCATCCATCCATCCATCCATCCATCCATCCATCCATCCATCCATCCATC